CCTGCTGAGAGGCCTACTGTGCATTTCAAGTTCAGGACTGGGAAGAAGTTCATTGGGGAGTCCTTGGATACGAAGCTTCGGAAGAAGGACGTGTCGCGGACGGCGGCATTGGCTGGGAGGGAAGATGAGAGGGATGATAAGAAGAGGAGGGCTGAGTATATTCTCAAGCAGTCTATGGAGAATCCGCAGGAACTCACTCTGTTGTAGATTGATTAGTTCATTTGTTGACAATTGAGTTGAAGGGGTGCTCGGAAATTAAGGGCTTGCTCATCTTCTGGTGAGGACTTTGTGACTTACCTTACCTGGCTGTAGAATCACTTCTAACATGTTTTTAGAGCAGTTGATTTTGTTTCTTTTCTTGCTAGTGTAGCTCTGATTTGCATATGGATTTTTGAACATAAAGCTCTTCTTTCCGTGGCTCATATTGTAATCTACACACCAATTCAATTGAATCAATATACTGAATTTTCTGTGCCTATGTTATGCTTGTTTTATTTGGCATCGTTAGGTTTTTATAATCATTGTCTTTGTCTTGCTAGACCCGAAGAATAGGGTGTTCCTCATTATGGTTTCTTTGACTTGTTTGGTTGTTATAGCCATTGTTGTTGTCCTTCTAGACCCGAAGAATAGGGTGTTCGTCATTGTGGTTTCTTTGACGTGTTGCCATTATTTCGTTGGTAGTGCATCATTTGCAAATTTTAAATTGATAGATAGAAAAAATAAGGGATTTTATGGAAATTTTGTTATGGTATAAGTATTTCCAGAATAGCAATATTAGTATTGCAGTAGATATGTCTCTGGGAAAGGTATACCGTCTACATTACTGGGATGCTGATATTCTCCCCAAAAAAACAAACAAAACTGGAGTGTCTGGTTAACGAAAGTTCAACCGTTGGATTATACTAATGGCTATGATCTTGCCATGTGTCCCACTTCTTTTTTTATTTTCTATTTTTAAACAGTAATTCTCCCGTAAGCATTTTTCACTCTTGATTCCTTTTTTTTTTTTCATCTTTTTTGTGTGATATTTCTCCGTGATAGTAAACACCATGTTTTGCACATATTTCTACATGTGAGTAAAGATGTTGTGACTGTGAAGTTTGGGAAAGGATGAGTCACTGTGAAGGTTTTTATATTGGCGGGCACATAAAATATAGCATTGACATTAAGGTTAAGGTCAGGATTGGCATTGAATCGGAGCCAAAGATGCTCTACTGGTCAAGTGGGATTCGCCAGATGTGAAAGTCCAGTGTGGCTGGCAAGGGTCGCTGGAATTAGATGGAAAACAAAAAGGAAAAGGAAAAAAAATAGATTAAGAGTTGAGCAAGTTTAATGAAACTTGAGATTTTTGGATATCATCTCAATCGTTAACTTTAATTTGCGGTCCAGATTTATTAAACTGGACACTCCAGTTTTATTTTTTATTAGGGAGAGGATCTGCATCAACAGTATCGTGCCTGATATTTTCCGGTTAATTGTTTCTTTTTTTTGGTCTGGATCAATGCTTTTCTTGTTTGTTTCCCAAGAAAACTAACATTAAAAATGTGAAATAAACACGGTAAGTGTTCCCCTGCATCCATAGTACTGAGTTGTTTGCTTCCATGCCTGTTAAAGTAAATTACAGGCAAGAGCCCCTATAGCTATATCATGTTATTCTTATACGATGTTTGCTTCGGTTTTTGTTTTATCACCTCCTGCAAGCAAGGTACTTTTTTAATAAGTCTCCACTCCACTTTCTCTCATAATTTCTACTGGAGTTATGGGTGCAGAACAGTATTTTAATAAATTATATTATTATAATTTATAATATAATATATGATGCTACAGAACAGTATTTTAATGCAATTCTTTCACACGATTCATAGTACTGAGTTGTTTCTAACTGATGTTTGTTTTACTTTCTTGATTTTAAACCATGTTGCTTATTGATTGAGGCACTCATCTTTTCTTGAAATGCATTTACCGTAGGTCTTCTGCAGCACAATGATTGCTTTTAGTAGTATCTTATGAGAATTTAATATGAGAAAACTTATATAAACTAACATATGTATAAGCTAATTTTAGTTTATGGAGAAGTTAAACTTATTTTTCCTTACTTTTTTCTCATATAAGTAAGTACTTTTGGAAATATTTATTCAATCAAGGGTGGATAAATACCTAATACAGTAAGTAGTATAAGTAAGCAAAGGCGGGGGGATGTTAGAAATGTGACTAATAATAACGGATTTTACAGGGGTGGATAAACTACCTAATACAGTAAGTAGTATAAATAAAATAAGAGGAGAGTAGGAGACTGGGAGATTTAGATTTAGACTTGGCTTGAGGAGTGTGCAAGGTACTCTCGAAGATACCTTAGTAGTGCAATTATCTTGCTCTAGTTGCATTAGATAGGGTATAGCATTACAGTTTTTCTTCAATTATTTTATAATATACCTTAGTAGTGCAATTTCTTGCTCTAGTCGCATTACCTAGTATATACCAATACAGATTTTCTTCAATACTTTTATGAATTCTTGCCATAATCCCAGTTGGACCTTAAAACTAGTGTCAGTTAAACTTCAGTGTGGTGCCTGCCTGTTTGAATAATGCAGACCAGAACTGGCTTAGGAACAGTCTCTCCGTCAGTGAATTATGGATGCAGGAAATCCATGCAATACCACTATCTCTGCTATGAAAACCTCTGCAACCTCTTTAATGGTAAAAGGGTGAGACAAAACTATGAAATGCACACACTTGATTACTAATCCACAACCACTAGTATGTTATTCCTGCAGTCCTGTCTTTAGCTCTGGGAAGGCCTGAGATAAAGTCCATAGATATGTTACTCCATATTTGGTAGGGGTAGGGGTTGGGACTTGGGAGAGACTGCAAAAGGCCAGCTGATGGCAGGGTCTGGAATTTATTTCTTTGGTAGACATGATATTCTGTTATAAATCTTTTCTAACATAAAATAATTTGTAAAAGAATTCTCATATTTACTTTTTTAGAAGTTGACTTGCATAGAGAAGTTGATTTTAATGATATAAATTTTATTTTATTTTTCACTCTTAGCAGGGCTTATGGAGAAGTTTATCTAAATAGATTCAATTGTGATAAACTTTCTTTTTTGGTTAAGAACTCGAGAGCCTGTACATGACTAGTGCATAGTAAATTAGTAACAGTTCCTTTGGAGGTTCTGACATTTATAAGTATGATGTACAATTGGATGATTAGCGATTGTAAAATTGAAGAGATCATTTTGGGTGCTGCGTATAATGTGCATAGTCACTATACACCATTCTTCTAATTGTGCCTCATTATTCGCCCTCGTCATTGGTTTTATTCAGCTTCATGTCTATAGTCTATTGCCTATACAGCCTAAAAAAATTAATCATTTTCCTGTTCAGTCCTTTATTTGTCTAGCAATCCTATTTTGTCGTGTAGAGTTGATTAGGTAAATGTTTTCTAGCAAGAAAATTCCCCGAGTGATGGGGACACAAGAAAAAGGGTATGTTATAGAATCACAGTAAACTTGATATATTTTTTTCTTTTTTAAAAACTTACAGACCAAAGGTAAGAATTAAAAAGTATTGATTTTGGGGGAAAAATCACGAGTCATTTATTTATTTTTTAATCAAGAGTAATTTGTACATTTTTGTTGAGTTATGGCTTTTGGTTGATTTATAGCTGATTTTTTTTTTTTGCAATGTCAAATTAAATTTATTTTATACCAGTTTAAGTTATAAAATATATGCCAAGTAATGTTACATATTTATGATTTAGAGAGATTGTATTGGATTGATTTTTTTTTTTTAAATATTGACATAAAAAATCCTGTGAATTTTGTTAAACAAAATGGTGTGAATGAAATGATTTTTTTATATATAAAAAAGAATTTTATAAACAAGATTTTTTATTTGAATTTTAATAAATTTATATCATTATTTATAAGAATTTTATGAAATTTCAAAAGATAATATGAATTATTAAAAAATTATATAATTAATGAAAAAATATAATATAAAGATGAGTGTTCAAATGACACTGATATAATTTTTATTAAGTATTACACTGTTTAATAATTTTATATTAAATGTAAATTTTGTAAATCTAACTAATGAATTATAACTTTATATCATTTTATATGTTTATATCAAATTTTATTAAAATTGAATAATTTAAAAATAATTAAAATGTTTATATTTTATTATATTTTAAAATATATATTATATCAATTTTATTTTATTTTATAAGAATGAAATATTAAATCATCTTGGATTAATATAAAATTTTGTATATATAATTTACGAATAAAGAACTTTCAATCTAACGGTTAAATTTATAAAATTCACATTTAATAATATAATATCTAATAAAAGTTAAATCAATATCGTTTGAATCATTCTCTAATATAAATATAGATTCAACTAAAGAAAAGTAAAATTGTTATAATTTATTTTTAATATTTAATAAATAATTAATTCTATCTTATTTATTAAGTAATATTTTTTTTTACATATAATCTTTGATACATTGACATCTTTTCAATCTTCGCATTCATATTCTTGAATTTAAATAAAAAGTTCAAAATATATTTATTAACGGTAACATCTATTGAAAACTCATCAGCATTCAATTAGAAATCCATGCATTGGCATTCTTTTAATTTATGCGATTTGAACAATAAGTTTAAATGTAGGAAATTTTTTAATACTAGGAAGACTTTTTAACTGAAAAAAATTAGTTAAATATTACAATATTTTAACATACTTTTTTTAAAAAAAAAAATTATCTCGATTAAAAACTACAAGACTTTTTTAATATAAAAAAAAATCTTTTAAAATCCTAATTCAAAATTGACTTTTTTCTAGATACATATTATGACTAAAAAGATAATACGTTTTGCCACATGAATACAAGTATTGAACACATTATCTGCAACCTGAACAAGCTCGAGCAATTTTAAATAGACATCATTTGTCTTCATTTTAGACATTACGATTCTATAGTCCTGTAGTTAAGGATGGTCAAATTAAAGGCTACCTCGTCCTAAATATTAAGTGCGTCTAGGAATAAAATCCTGTAAAAATACGTGCCCAGTACAGAAATGTAAGGTACAAAGCTACAAGAGAAATCTGCAAAAACTCGTACATCAACCAACACTAATATCAAAATCAAATGCATAAATTATTCAATTTTCAAGGAAAGGATTTTCTTCCTCGTATAAGAAATGTAGTTACTTGGTCCAATTATATGAAAGTCCTCAATGCTTAAGCTTCACATCCAGTTCTACAGGAAAAACTTTGTATCGATGGTTGAAGATCATGAAGTCCAGGTTGGCAGGTAAAGAAACAATCCTGCATCCAAGGTAACAAACCAGGTGATTGTGGTCCAACTAATTCTATACAAGCATATAGCCAGTAAAATCAGACTTGCGAAGTTTCTATACCTCAAGTATGAACCAAATGCAACCAAGGATAGCAATTACTAAGTTTTGGAAAGAGAAATTTCCTTTGACAAGGGGCAAATATTTATTAGTATTTTAACGCTTTTTAACACCCTCTCTAATGCAATGTTTTAGCACCATACGCCATTTTCGACACTCATTTTATTTATCTCATATCAATAGAAACAACTAACAATAAATGATCCGTTAAAAACAAAATAGATGTAAAATGGGGTCTAAAGTATTACTTGGTATATTTTAGGCAGCATGCTTTTACACAAAAACATCAATATATCAGGCATCATATCGTGTTTTAATGGAGGGTGCAACTACTACGTATATGACTGATTGAGCAGAAAACTTGTTCCAGTTCAGTAAATTGTTATCTAAATGAAATAAATCATATAAGTAGTGGACAAGGAGATCAGTGGTTGAACAGCCGAGCTTGAGCTTTCTGGTAATATTTATGTCATGCTGGGGAACAGCCAAACTTTCCATTTCATTTTTCTTTCTGATAGATAATGCCAATTTGAGCATATTTGTCAAATTCGGTTACTTAGCATCTAATCTACAGGACTGTGATTTGTGAATGAAGAATATAACATATGTAGTGGTCACATGGCAAATTAATGAACGTAGATGATAATTTGCTCTGTCTTTGGCACCGGAAGTTATTTAGAGGAGAGGAAAGGAAAGGGAGAAGGGATGGAAGGGGAGTTAATTACCCTTGTTTTGGTGTTTATGTTCGCAGAGGAGGGAAACTATGATAAGAAACCAAAAACAAAGGAAACTTTCATTGAAGGAAAAATTCGTTCTCCATTGCTGAAATAAAAAAGATATCAGTTGTGGGTAGGGGATTGATCAAGAAGAAAGAAGAAAACAAACAGAAAGGGAAATATACAGGCATTGCAAGTGAGGAACACTTCCCACTCCCTTTCCCTCAATAAAAATCTTCCAAACAAGCATATCTTCCTTCTCCTTTTCTTCCACCTCCTTAACTCCCATTCATACATATTATCAGTCAGTCCAGTTCATCCATTGCTACTTGAATCTCCAATCTAAATCATGAATCTGATAGGCTTATTACACAGCTTTATAAAAGAAAGGGAAAGAAAAGGGGCATAGGAGTAGAAACAACTGGCCTAATGGACCAAGGCCTGAAAGTGTATGAAAGAAAGAAGAAAAAGGTGGCCCCAGAAGGGTTAGGGAGAGAAGAGAGAGGGAGGGACTAACTGAATGGACATGTAGATAAGGAGGATAGGGAGAAAAGATGTGGGAATCATGTGCTGTGACAGGAAGAGAAAGAAGGTTTTTGAGTGGAGGGAGGCAAAGGAAAGAGGTAGGAATTCTGTTATTGGAAAAGTGGGGAGGCCAGTCTGATACAGGAGGGGTCCTATTCTTAGGAAGAGTTTTATTTCCTTTCTAGTTTATTTCTGTTGATCTGTTCATCTCGCAAGAGGCCCTTGCTCCACTCCATAGTTATTTTTTTTCGTTTGTCTATATTTCCTGAGGTACGTTTGATTGACTATTGAGGATTCATCCTCTCTGAATAATTTTTCTTAATCCAGATGCCAATTAGGCAATTATCTCCTAGTTTCTTTAGTCCATGCTTGGGTCTTATGACAATTCTGTATGAAACCGTGACTTTTCTTGGTATAAATAATCCAGGTAGCATGACAATACAAATTGCTGATTCAAGAAATAAGCACACTGAATTCTGAATAAATGATAGAAAATTAGAGATAATAAAGTTTCCAGGCAAAATTTGAGTACAAGCAAGGTTTCTCCCTAATTAGGAGTTTCCTCCTTCAAAAAAATCAAAACACAAGAAATAACAATTTGACACCTTAATTGGCTTGTAAAATCTAAAACACAACCTATATATGACTATAACTATCATGCCATGACCTGTATCTGCTTAATCTGAAATTATTATGAAAATGATTGCCTACTAACTAGGCCTTTCAAAATTGAATTAATTAATAATCTTCACATCAATAAATTATTTGTCTACCACGAGAGGGAAGAGGCAAAATTAAATAAGTACAGAAATGAAATACAGGAAGAAAAACAATGAAGTAATTCCAATTACTAATCTACTCTTGCATAAAAGTATTTGTCTATCTGTTACCAAACTCCAAACAAGCAAGGTGGTTAAAGATGATTTTGAATATTTTCTGCTTTTACCCTCAGGAGGAAGCAAATATTTTGCCAATCTTATTAACTTCCACACCTACCGTATTTCCACTTAAATGTAGCCCCTATTCTATCAAGTATGTGATACATACCTCAGTGGGGTTTGAATCAGTTAGTAACAGAAATAGCAGGTAGTAACTGTCATGATTAGACAGCTGTAGTTAGTTTGTCTGACAGCTGGACTGTCAGTTAGTGGTATATTGTTATTTGTAAGGGGACAAATGTATAACTACGAGAAGGAGGGTAGGTCTTTGGTTTCGGAGTGAAATTGGGCGGAAAAGCTTGGGTTACTCTTGGAGGAGTCTGTATCGACATTTCCTCATTTCTGTCCATTATCTCTCCATTACAGACGTTTCTGTCAATAAAATTCCCATTTCTTTCTTATATTCTGATCCAGTAGAATCAGTATGCTATGACTAAATGAAGGACCTATAAAAATAATAGAACCGGTTGAAGGTAGACCAAGCTTTAGACGACAAGACAAGGACATAGTGAGATCAACTTATATAAGGTGGTACCATAATATACATTTTGGGCAAAACTGCAAAAGTATTTCTTCCAAATCCCATAATGAATCTTTCACTTTAGGCTCACAATTTGCAACTCATCCAAATTATAAATCCATCAACTCAAACATAAAACTCTTCCAAGATTAATTTCTAAAATTAAATATCCCAAAGTCATTCTCCACCCAATATCAATCAAAACAAAGCTAACAAGCACATCTAATTTACAGCCAAGTATATACAAAAAGACCAAGTAACCAATGTAGTGAGGCAACTAAACCATAACCTTTCTCAAAACAAGAACCCATTTGAGAATTAGTTTGCTGAACTCATATTAACCCTCCTTTCCAACAATCTTAATTTCTTAACCTTCTCTATTTCCATTCTTCTACTATTTCATCCCTCTCTGCCAACCAACAAAACTCAATCAAGGTATACCAAACACAAAAAGGGCAAAATTATCACTTAGCGTAAACAACTTATGTCAGGTATAATATAAGATTGCACACAAATCACTATGAACATGTTTAGATAAACTTCTCCAAAAACAATTCTAGAACAAGAACTAAAAAGAAAAAACTGAAATAAATTTCTCCATAAACTAAAATCAGCTTATGCATAAATTAAAAATAAGATTTTAGAGAAGTTAATATGACAAAACTTCTACAAATTAACTTATGAATAAAATTTTTAGCTTATTCCATTTTTTTTTCCTGATTTTCTCTCATAGAAGTGTTTCGAGACAAGTTTACCAAATGTCTCATTCCAAAGTCAAAGGAAGCACGTCAGGTTCCATTGGATCAAGTTGCAAGCCCTCAAAAATTTTAGAATGACCACATGCTAAAATCAAATCAAACACAAACTTAAATCCACACCAGAAGGAACTTTTCAAAAAGCAAAACAAGGAGTGGTTACCTGTTCTCTTCAGAGTCAGGGTGGATGGACAAAAACTTCCCAGGCACAGTCAGCGCAGCCCACATGCAAAGCACTAACCCTAGAGTCACCTCAATCACCACCTGCAATTCCCAAAAACCTAAGATTCACAAGTTCCAATAACACAAACTAAACTCACCTACCCAAAATCAACACTCACATTCAAAGGAGGCCCTGAAAACTCTTCCTCCGTGATCTTCAACAAGCCCCTGTCTGCAACCAAAACCAAACCCTAATTTCAGATCAGCGTGCACCAAACCCTTCCAAATGCATGAAAAAAGAAAAGAAATAATGGGAACCCTAGAGAGGGATGCATACACTGGATGGTGGAATAAGCGGCGTGAAATAGAATGAGAAGACCGATGAATCCGACGACAAAACCTAAACCCATTGTTGACTGTTGTTGAGTTTGCGATCTACGTTAGTGATGATTGACGGAGACGAGACAACTACAGAAAGCTCGGAGATTTCGAGGTTGAGTGAATCATCGACCAACACCAATGCCACACCACTAATTACCAATTGCAAAATCATTTACCTTTGTAATCTTAAAATCGTTTTTTTTTTTTTTTTTCAATTCATAGATATAATTTTAAGCAATTTTTCAAGTCCTACAACCAATGACTTATAACTTCAAGATAAATAATTATTTTTATATATAAATAAAAATTGGTTAATGTAATTCAATATAATCAAGAGATAAAAATTTTGCACGAATGTGAAATACGATAAGTGCATAAAAAAAAGGATGATTTTTAAAATTGTTTAATCTAAAGAAAAGGATAATATTATCTCCATGAGGTGTTTTGATTTGATTTGATTTTTTACATTTTTTTATCATATTATAAATATTCAGTGTATATTAGTTGTATTAATTATTAATATTTGTACAAAAATGATTAATTAAATATTTTTAATAAAATTTCCTATTCTAATTGCTTTTTATTTGTTGCAAAAAATACATTTTTTATTTACTGTACTATTAAAATGTAAAATTATTTTAAGAGATCCAAGCGAAATTATAGTAAAATTTAAAATTATTTTTAAGAGATTTGAGCTCAATTATATTGAAATCAATTACATATTGGTTGAGAGGCATTCCACGAGTTATATATTATAAGTGAAATGTTATTGGAAATGTTCTGATAAGGTTTAGTGAGAATAATTTATGGTTCTCTATTTTTCATTTAATAAATAATTGTATGGTAAATAATAAAATAAAAATGATAAAAGTATATATTAAAAAAAAAGAAAATAAACTTTAACCGATTGTTATTTTGACACTAATTTCTCAAACTAGTAGAAATTTAGAAATAAATATGCTAATGACATAACATTTGCTAGAGGCAAATATTTGGCGATGATCTCTTCTCTTATTCCTTATGTCTATTTTTTTTCTTTTTTTCTTTTTTTCATATCCCTTCTTTATTTTTTCCTTTCTTTTTTCTCCTTATTTCATTTTTCATAGAAATCTATCATATCACAACTTAAACATCTTATTTATTGTTTCATGTTTGACAAACATGCATATTCCTTATGCTAATATGTGATCTATAAAATGAATTAAATAGCAACTTTCATGTATTTAAGTGTTTCATGTGATAAGATTAAAATAATGTAATAAATTATTACTATTTCAAGGAGTTTTCACACAAATTGCTATTCACATGTTACTTTGTATTGTCCAATAAGAGCATATTTGAATTTCACAACCTCAATACTCTTTAATTTAAGATTCATGAGGATTAATTAATGTAATAGGATTTAAAAGAGACAGAACCCACACAAAAAACAAAAAAAGATGAAAATATTGATAAGGACAAAAAAAGATAACAAAATAAAATAGAGAAAGAAAAAAAAAAGATAAGATAGAGATGTTGACAATAATTAAAAAAAATAGTCATATAAAGACTAAATCATAAAAATTATGCCAATATAGAAATCAAAACGTAAAAATAATATAAGTATAAAGATTAAAATGTAAAATACAAGCACTTCAATGGTACATCAACATCATGTCAACACAACATAATTGCACCATTAACATTGAATGATATATGGTGACAATGACTAAAATGTAAAGATTTTATTCATGATTAAAATAAGTGGTAGTTATGTGTATGAACTATAACATAAACTTTGCACAAATATAAAGATCATGTGAGTAATTAAACCTTATGATTATAATTTCACAAAAATAAAGAAAAACATACTTCAGTTTACAACTAAAAGATGTTTTACAACAATATTTATTAGCATAGGACATATATATAATTAGTGTTATTTTCCTATTAGAATTTGAGTTTTACCTCTATGATAGGCATTAATAGAGATGTCAATCAGGTCATGTAAGATCAACTCGTATTACTCATGACAACTATTTTTTAGGCTAATCTTAACACTATATTAGGTCACTAAACCAAATAGATATAAATTAAAAAATACCCAAACAACTCAATTGTCTCCTCCCCAAATTCATTGGCTTACGGATAACAAATTTTATTTTTGAGATATTTTTTAGACTTATATTTATGTGATTTTTTTTTCATGTTTATGAAACTTTTTTTATTTGTTTTAATTCTAATTACATTCAATTATTATTTTTTATATAAGTAAATTTAATAAAATACGTTTCAAATACTAAATTAGTTAAAAAAAAGTATTAAAAAATATATTTCAAGATTGAAAATAATTATTATTTAAAAAATATTAAATCAATTCAAATTTATAAAACAAATGTCTAAAATGAATATTTTATGTAACGACCCGCCGTGGTCCCTACACTCAGTGAAATCATACTAAAAACTAGTAGACTAAGAAAAGATATTAAAACTGGATAACTCATACATACAGGTATATATAAAATAATAATAACTATGTTTCTATGTATAAAATATAACACTATATATGTACAGTCATCCCAAAATTAATATCGTCCTAGTGCCGGTCAAACACAGACAAACCAGTTACCCAAATGGTAACTCTAACACGAGGACAAAACTTCATGTCTCGCAACGGTCACAGCAACCAACTCCAACCTAACCCTGATCTGCTCCCATACTCAGTATGATCAGAGTCCATCCACATGAAAACATAAGGGTAAGCTAGAGTTCAAAAATCAACCATGTAAGCATATAAAGAAATGTCTATGCTACACCATTATCAAGTTACCAATCATATTTATAGAGCCGCACCATATGTAACGACCCGACTGGTCACTACGCCCGGCTCAGCACACTAGAAACACCAGACAGATAGAACAAGTATATGACTTCACATCATGATTCTCACAATACTATCATCATGCACTTCACAACTTTCAACTATATCAACACATAATACAACTCACCCATCATGTTTACAACTCATCTATCATGCCAACCTACACAACATATACAACATGAATTAACCTACGCACCCAAGACAACCTTCAACTTATCCAAATCACTCTTTGTGAAATGGTAACCTTTACATAAAACAGCATATCGGGAGTTATACTACTCCTATCATGCTCATCCTTATCTCATATGAAAGATAAGCATATTTTCTAAAACTCTCATGAAGACACCAAGTCCTAATTACTTCATCTACCTTGTTAAAAATTCTAAAAACCGCAACAGCTATAACCAATGCTGGCAGCTTGACCCCTGTTCACTAAAACAGCCATATCTGGAACCATAAAATTCCTCCATTCGAACAAAGAAAAGGGAAGAAATTTTGTAAGTATCATAATATGTATGGTCATTGGACTAATAATTGTGTGCGTTTCAGCGATATGATCGAGAAGGCGATCACTGAGGGTCGTCTGGCTTTCAAAGAAAAATATATGAAAGTGGATATGGATCCATTTGCAGCTTATATTGGATATGTAGAGCCAGTCTCGATGGGGATTAATATGGTCGAAGTAAGCATCGAGGAGGATGAGAATGTCGAGCCTATTTCTGATGAAAAACTCGAGGAATTGTTGGATGACTTTGCTAAAGAGGAGGAACTTATCTATCCAAAGGAGGGAGATGGTTTGGTCGAATTCCTGTCTAAGAAAAAGGATACTGATAGGGAAGTCATGTTGTGTCCTCGATGCAGTGCAGTATTCGATAGAGCTGCTGCCAAATCCTTCGAAGAATCAGAGATAATGAAAAGATACAAAGATGAAAAACTTCGAGAAAAGGCCAAGCCTAACACTGGGTTGAACACTAGGTTGACAATGAGCAGGTACATATGCCTCAGTATAACACTCCAATGGGAAAGATGGAGAAGCATAACTCATCGAAGTTTGGCAATACTTTCGTGCCAAATGCTAATGTCCTAGTGGGAAAATGGAATGCGCCACCAAGGCAAATAGCTGGAATGGGTCGAGGAAAACAGGTAATGAATTATGCTGGCCTACATTCCAAGGAGTTCATGGAAAGTTCTCAAATGTGTCTAGAGTGCCTGGGAAATTCTCGAGCATAAGTTATGGGCGGGGTTTTAGACAACCTTTCAACAATCTGACTAAGACTCAGTGGAGGAGACAATAGAGAATGAGGAAGGCTATATTTGAAGGTTTCAGAGGAAACCATTTTTCGATCCCAGTGCCACAAAAGGGTGAATCATCTCGGAAGTTCATAGAAGACGATGAAGATTTAATTACGGATTGTTTCGAGAGTGGGTTCGATGATTCTCTAGAAGACATTTGTGGTATAGTGTCAATCTTGCCTTCTGAGTATGTTGGGGCTATGGAATCTGTTAATGAGCAGGAGGATAACCACCGAGAGGATTTTTTCGACGATCCTAGCTATGAGTTGAAAATTGTGTGGGTCAATCAGATCTCTCGAGTTATTCCTAAGTTTAACTCGGTTGTGTTCGACTCTCCAATCAAGGACATGAAGGCTCATCTTAAGCCTCTACTGTTAACTTTGATGATTGAGGGACATGAAGTGAACAAAGTATTGGTTGATGGAGGAGCAACCATAAACATACTCCCAAGGACCATGTTAAAAAGGTTTGGAAAGACCATGGCTGATCTAAAGCCTCACAACATCCTTTTCTCAGATTATGCAGGAAAGTTGTCACAACCTGAGGGCATGAGTTTTCTCGATGTGCAGATAGGAAGTGTGAAACGAACAACCATGTTCATCATAACTCCATCGAAGGCAAATTTCAATGTCCTATTGGGCCATGAATGGATATAACAGAATTCATGCAATAATGGCAACATCATGACAGATATCAATCATCTAATGCGTCGTCACGCATTCACCTAAGAGATCTGTCAAACAATAGAGTAGTATAAGTGACATCCCAATCCTACCGAAACCACCCCAACTGTTTTCACGCCCAATGTGCCCGCTCGGTCACACCTAATCAAGATATAAATCCTCACTTGGGTTTACTCGGATGATGTCACTTACACACTTGGAAGTTAGGTTTCACCGTTAGGTATATCACAACTGAATATAGGCTTATTACAACCTTGACATACATTACCAAGTCACTTATGGAGTTTGTCCACCGACTATCCGCAAGGAACCACGCACCTTCCTCAATACTTG